TTTAGGATTTTCTGGACTTGGATCTTCTTGTCCGGTGACATCCCTCCAGCATTCCACTAGAGGATCTGAAGACGTTGTGATTCGCCCTGACGAGGGCGATTACTCTTATAGCCTTGTTTCAAGCTAATCATGATAAATTGAAGTCAAATCGAATGACGAGTGATAGACTTTTTTGCCGTACGAAGATACGTTGTCCAGGGTGGACCACGTGGAGGCAAGTCTATCGCGCACCCCGGTACTCAAATTGATGTGTGGTTGTTTTTGAAGAAAATGGAACACAATTTAATTAGCTTTATAAGGAGCGCAAAAATGAATTGCGAAACAAATTGTATTTTATTAAACGAATTTGCCATCCAGAAATTACATGAAACTTGTGTTTTGTTTTGAAGAGGATATGAATCGGTTCAATATGATTTCTCCTTTTTATTTTCATATTGGTTTAGATAATACTCTTTATGAAGATTAATTCTATTAATGAAACATGTCTGGTCTTATACTGATTGTTGAAATCGAGTTCAACACAAGCAAAAATTTACTTGTGGACTGTTCACAATTTGCTTGATGTCGGCAGTTTGAGCACGTTTCAACCAAGTAATCATATGCTCTCTCGAACATTCTGTCTAGGTGGATTTCGATTTGTAGACTGCAGGATAAAATCAGATTTGCACAATTGAAGGGAAAATTTGATCCCACGGTATTTCCTGTATACACTGCTCATTAGAGGGCTGGCTGTAATGGTTGCAATAGCACGTGTGTATTTTGCATTCCGAACACTTTAATTGGGTTTTAGTAGTTTTTAATGATCAAATAATGTCTCATGAATAATATATGATGCCTAAATGAACATGTTGCAGGTAGAAATACGTGAATTTATCTGCACAACAACAGAAAGAACACTCGCTAGGGAAAGCACTCAAACATTTTGAATTGCCAAATCGACTGTTAATAAGCTCAAGCATCTCAATATCGTAGTACCTCATTAATATTTTCCAAAATAGCCTATATTCTTGAGTTTCGTAAATATGTACACTTTTTGATTTGTTGACCTCTAATTCCACTTAGAAACCTACCTATCCACACTAATTAAATTTATATTAAATCTAGAATCTTCCAGAGGTATGTATTTAATGGAGATGAATGCACTTAAATAAATTAGTGTGAATGAATTTGTGATTTTACTAACAATTTGTGCTAGTTTGATTTGGTACGAACTTATGCCAGACTAAGTTACCTTACTTAAAATTTCAATATTTATTCTCAAATGTAACTCACACATATTGCTACGTACCTTTGTATGATAAAAAATAAAAGAACATTGACATATTTCATTGAAAACTTATGGTAACGTTTCGACAAGCATTTAAGTTGATGTGTGCTACCTTTTGAAGTGAATGGAACACAATATGGTTTAACGCCATAAATAGCGCAATAATTGGTTGCGCAACGAATTTGAAATAGGTGTTTCGTATAGTGCAGAAAATGGCGCGATGTAATAAATAGCACATGAGAATCTGTAAGATGTCTCTTAAGAAACGTCTAATCGAATTAAAATTAAAGGCAGGCAAGGCAGAACTTTATATCCCTGTTATGGTGGTCAACGGAACAGCAATCGAAGCTCTAAAGACAAGGGATTACAGTTTTATGCTTAAGCAGACTTTATTCAATACATTTAAAAAAGGAATAGATTTAAAAAACTCTACTGAGCATTGTTAAAAGCGAAAAACTATACCGGAGATATAATCAATTAAGAATCCACAATTCGTGCATGTTTTCGGTTCTAACATGTTACAACTAAATGTAAAAACGTCTGACAAAATTCAGTAGAATATGTGTTCAGAAGGGTTAACTTAAATGCTTGGCGAAACGTTACCACAAGTTTTCAATGAAATATGTCCATGTTCTTTTATTTTTTATCATATAAATGTACGTAGCAGTGTGAGTTACATTTGAGAATAAATATTGAAATTTTAAGTAAGGTAGCTTTGTAGGACACGTTTCGCTCTATGCGTCATCGTATTCCTGCATGTCTCCTCGCCAGGATTGGGAGGTGCGGCTGTACAACTCTGTGTGCAGCGACCGTACAAACAGTGACCAATCATCAACCTCTGTTTAACCTAATCCCCCATCCTGATCATGTGTAGCTCCCTGCGTGTACACTTCGTCCGCAATATATACGTCCTGAATAAACGTGCTCCTTGCTACACGTCTGTTTCCTTTATAGGTGGGCTATAGCTTAGCTAGTTCTGGGAGTCTAGAGTTCTGGGAGTCTAGCTGGATGTTGGAGAATCTGCCATAGTATTTCTGAGTCAGTCAGGCTTTACTAGCGTAGCAATCCGTGGAGCTATAGCTTAGCTGTTCTGGGAGTCTAGCTAGGTGTTGGAGAATCTGCCATAGAGATTTCGGTCAGGCTTTACTAGCGTAGCAATCCGCTACAATGCAATCCGGTCAGGCTTTACTAAGGTAGCAATCCGTTACAATTCTCAACCGGTCTGGCTTTACTAAGGTAGCAATCCGCTACAAGTCTTTAACCAAGGCTTTACGAAGGTAGCAATCCGCTACATGTTCGAGAATAAAGTAGCAATGGGCTGCAGTCCATTGTCCATTGCATTTTCATTCATCTTTAACACAAAACAACCTTGAAGCATGCTACTTATGTTGAAATACTTTTCTCCCCTCCATTTCTATCTCATGTATGCTTTCTTCATGGTTTGAATTGCAAAACAAGGACGATAACACCCTTCAGAATGTTCGAGTACGCGGGAGACTCCTTCCCTGCAAACTCCGAATAAAATTAATCAATTTATGAGATAAAAATGATTGATTTTTCAATTTGCATAATTATTTCTGACATTATAATTATTACCTTTAAAGGAAATGATCTATTTCAGCAAGAGTGGAATGTCAATTTTGATTCCCCATTCGTTCTGTTATAAATTTTACCGAGAAAAAAAAATAGATTTAAACTTTTACAAGCATTTTTAGCATTTCTTTGTTTCCAAGTGGTAAGAAATGGTAACAATTGTTGATCGGACACTTGAAAATGAATCATTGGAAATTATTGATTTTCAGGAGTCGTAGGTCATCTTTATAATCGAATTCAGAAATTAATTTCCAAGAGTCCTTGTTCATTGAGGTGTTCTAAAGTAAAGGAAAATGGCGTTTGGATATCAACTCGTCCGTTCATGGGGTTTCAATGCCATATAACTTACCCCTTCGTGTTGATTGAATAGTAGTTCATATATTCTTCCAGCATTACCTACAATTAATAGGAAACATTTTCATATTTGATTATTACTTCATTATCACTTAAACTGAATGCAGTCTAGTAAATGGTTGTTAATCCAAAACAAGTTAACTTAATCCAATTATCGGCTCTCACATTTCGGGTGTAATCGTTTAATTGAATGAATTGATCATTTTACACAAAACATCATTGGAATGAACTTCAAAATGGGTAAATTTCGAAGTTGGTGAGGAAAATAAATAAACGAGTGAAAATTCCAGTTAAAATGTCAAAAGCCTGATGAGTTCATAAAATTCTTGAAGATGTTGAAATAAATTTCTACTTCAACTTTTAATCACACTCTCTCATTCCTTAAATTTCCTCATTATTTTCGATTGCAAAAAAGTGAGTACAATTTAAGTTAATTCCAATTGAAAAAATAGGTGCAAACGATATGCTCAAAATTGTGTCAATAATAGTTACAATGATAGCAGATAATAATGATAAAGACATAAAATTAAGAAAAAAATTAAAATTTGACTCACAAGCAAACAAAAGACTCCCATTAAAAGAGATCATCGAAACTGGTCTAAAGGAGGCGTTGATTACTTCGGTCCACTGGGGAGGTCCATTAGAAAATAAGGACAACATCTCCACAGAAAAAGTTGAACCCTCAAAATCACCAGCGACGTACACGTTTCCATTGAAAAATTCTGCTTTTGGATAAGCCCTCGAATGAAGCATTGGAGCGATTTCACACCAACTGCCTGCATGTCCAAGAGGCGATGAAGGTGTCAAAAATATTTCAGCTTTGTCGACACTCTGTGTTAAAGTTCTAATTTTACCACACCCACCAACAACTATGTCACCAACACCGGGGATATGTGCTGCTCCTGTGCCATACCTAGGTGTTGGCATTGGGGACAGTTCCACCCACCTAATTTTAAATAAATGAAAAATTTGGGCACTAGTAAATTATTCGTTACCGACTACCTAGAAGTCGAAGTTTGCGATCCGGTAAATTCTACCATCTTCATATGTACATGCTGGGACACACCACTGCGAAATCTTAACAACCAGGTCTTCAATAAGCAGTTGTAAGAGGTAAACTTAATCCGATTGCTACTACATTCATTTTATCCTATTGAAATGCCAAAAATGACCCAACAATGCCCTATCGACACCAGTAATTAATGTTAATGACTATGTATAAAATAGCGAATTGTTTGAGAACTATCGAGGTGTAAAAAGATAAATGCAAAGTCTCTAAACGAATTAGAGCATTGTTAATACCAATCAAGTGAAAGCAACTCATTCTCTAACCAAAACAAGGCAGGTTCATATATCACGCCAGACAAATATCTCAAAATGCTGATAGGTGAAAAATAAAATGTTTACGTATTGAATGCAGGTTGGAATTCTTCACAAGAGTCTAAAATTGCTCCACGTCGATTATTATATCCACCGAAGACAAGAATTGCATGATCTCGAGCCACTGCAGAATGACCCGATCTCTCCTCAATCATTGGTTGGAGTACGGTCACTTCACCATTCTGTGGATTGATTCTTTCCACTCTTGATATACTTTCTCCAAGCCTTTTTTTGCCACCCAGAGTATAAACACTGCCTATAAAGAGTAAAATAAAGTTATTGGGAGTAAACAATTGAAATTGGCTTCAACCATCCAAAGCAACTGTGCAACTGGAATGTCGAGATATTAATGGAAAAGAAAATATTCTTCCACCATTTAATTTAGGAAATGTGTCCAAAACACCACATCTTGAATCGGCCATACGACCATGAACACCAACAAGCATTTTTGTTCTGCGACGTCAAAACAATGAGTTACAGGCTATTATGGGCGTACCTTTTCCTCGTAGATCTACTCAAATTCATAAAAGTGTCAAGCAATATTTTCCTAATTGAGAAATTATTAGAAATCGAAGTAAGACAGTACCTTGCATTTTCAGATAAGTTGAAATCCGATCCATTTACTAGCGTTTCAATTACAAAATCTCTCTGCAATTTTTTCGTATTGATCAACTCTAAGAGACGATCGAAGTTCTTTTCGCGTTTAGTGCATTCGCAATTCAAAGACGAGGCATTCATCCATGTGCAGAGTGCCTTGAATTTCGTTACTTCATTTCCATCACTTATCCAAGGACTTTGCAGTAAGAGCTGAAGTTGTTCCACTCCTACGTGTTGGAGGAAGGACTGGCTGGGGGCTAATCTCTCAAAATCACATGCTATCCTTGGTATGCAAGCACCAATGAGATCGTTGTTTGATGTGACACTTCCTGCTGACCAAACATTAATCGAATTAAGCCGATCAAGCCTAAAAGATAATTACATCAAGTGTATGAGGAGTAGCGTCAAAAACGTTAAAACTTCCCAAAACATCAGATTTTAGATGGTGTTTGGTATTTAGCTGTATCCCTTGGCCGACCTCTTATTCTACCACCCATCTTTTTCATCAATACTTTTCAATCGGAAACCCACTTTACTAAACCTCCACACATACTTATTGATTTTTAAAATCCCTGACAATTACAATGTTACATCACTGGCCACAAACTCTTATCCTATCACTCATCTTTTTCTTTTCTTTCTGAACTTCTCTCTACTAAAACTAACACACTCGCACACACGCACACGCATTATGTTTATCTTACTTGCAATAAACGAACCTTGTCTTGATGAACTCCGTTGTCCAGTCAATCAGCTGTTTGCAGCCAAGATTGTGTGCCATCAGATATATCCCCAATACGTTTTCAACATTTATGATTATTTCACCAGTGTAGGCGAAGTCGACGACTGCCATAACAATACTAAGGAGTTGATAATGTAATCGGGACAAATGACCTACTCATTCGGAAAACGACTCCAATTTGTGAGGTTTGAATGTTTGCTCTGTAAGATACTGTTTTTTATTCCTGGAAATTGTGCACAAAGGACAAGTTTGTGGGCAGAAATAGCAGTTCCGTCTTTGGTCTGAAATGAGAAAAGTTGCCTCAACGAAAATATGCACTTACAAGTACTGACAAATCGATAAGTGTCATTTCTTGTCGCAATACATTGAACCCATTGGCATATTTAGAGATGGGGTCGTGATCAATTTGTCTTATCTCAGATGGAAATTGCATCGTTGGTAAATGAATTTGAAAGCAGAGTGGTAGAAGGCACTTAGAATGAAAAGTGACAGACTTTGGCAAGTAATTATATCAAAGGAAAAGCACAAACCCTTTCTTAACCAATTAAATTTTAGCAAATACACCACTCTTAGCACATGTTTAACACATTTTTTGACTCACAAAGTGAAGAGAAATTAGCACAATTTGTTCAACGTCAACAGTAGCATTTCATAATTGATTGTACAACGAATGGTGTTAAGCAACCGAAATTAATATCCACACCCAATACATAAGTGTTTTGTGTCATGTGTTATAATTGCATTTTACAACCTGAATTGACATGCTCACAAAAAGACTAAGTTTTGTGTCGAAGAGGGTATGATTTAGATAAGAAGAACGCAGATTGAGAATATTGAGTAGATTAATGCAAATAGTTTTTTGGCATTATGAAGTTGGCAATTTGAAAACGATTAAATATAGTAATCCAATTCGATCTCAAACATTTCTAATGGTGAGCTGTCGTGTGCGTAAAGAGGACTTCTCTGCCGAATTGATATTAGTGTTTATTCTAAAGTAAATAAATTGAATAGTCATTTGAGGTATTTCTCTGTTCTCGACTCCTGACTTCAAATTTCACAACCAACGCCTTCGTGCAGATTTTGTAGTCTCCCTTACCACCACAAATTGATCCAACCTCCATCGTTACACTATGCACTGCATCGACGTCCCTTAATTTGTCACAAAAATTCTAGCCATCTATTTAGAATTTAAAGGCACGTTTCTTCTGATTTCCCTTGCATTCCAACACCCATCCTGAATTAACTGTCGTACAAGTACTAACTAGTATTTCCAAATGCTGGTTCGGTCACTCAAATTGTCTCAGCGTTTACCGATGTACTAACGTTTCAACACATCGTCAAGCCGTTTATATTGAACTAATCGGCAGACTCATTATTGATTGCCTCTGACAAACTATCTCTCATACAGGATGCGCGAATAGTTTTTCAATGTGAAATTCTCAAACAAAGCCACTTTACTCTTGTCAATGTACGATATATAAATATCCATTTAACGATGGAGAATTCTTCCACTAAAACCAGGTACACACACTTGAAGGTGAATGAGAAATCCTGCAGTATTTCTTGCATACACTGTTTATTGGCCGAAATTGGCCTGCACATTAAGACATTACCCCAAACTAGTTGTGTTCCAACAGGCCGTAATCTCATGTTTTTTGGGCTTCGAAAGCTAATCCTTCGACAAACGCAACGAGGAAAGCAATATCTATTTCTTCTACCCTCAATTGAAATTCGGGTTGACTTTTCTTAGCGAAATTAGTACTAACGAATATTTAAACCTTGTAGTGTGCTAATAAATTTGTGATGCGTCGATAAAGAGAACTCTAACAGAGAACAAGTATGATTTTATTCTGCTGTTTACGATATCGTCGCATTTCTCGATTGTGTCTACTCTTACTGAGTGCTTTTAAGTAGCATAAGATAATTTGAGGCAAGTTTGCTGTAAATAAACTGAGAGCATTTCTGAGAACGCCCAAATATTCCATCCCCAACTGTTTTGGCTTGCTTTAAAGGCAGTGTTTGACCATTTCCATGACTTTGCTTTGATTTCGTGGCTTCCAAGTTGGCTACTATGAATATGGCATCAGTCCATTTGTAAGTGAAGGCTAATTAGAGTAGAAATCGTGTACAAGATGAACAGTGATTCACACAAATACAGGCTATAATTGGAGAGATGTTGTTTATTAAGCACACAACCCATCTGAAAGAGAAGTGGGGAGACAGACACAAGATGGGCAAAAGTTGAGAGAAATTGTTGCAAGAACAGAAATTCTTGCTGTAATCTTATTTTGAATTGCATATCAGGGAGATATGGGGTGCGCGATAGACTTACCTCCACGCGGTGCACCCTGGAAACGTATTTTCTTACGGCAAAAAAGTCTATCACTCGGCAATTTTGACTTCAATTTCTTATGATTAGCTTTAAAAAAGGCTATAAGAAATATCGCCCTCGTCAGGGCGAATCACAACGTCTTCAGATCCTCTAGTGGAATGCTGGAGGAATGTCTCCGGACAAAAAGATCCAAGTGCAGAAAATCCTACAAACCTATGATGTAGACATTTTCACAATTATGGAAGCAAACATTTCGGATGACAAACTGATGTATTACCAATTCCCAGGTTACACCCTGTACAATCTACCTAAATTCCGGCAAGTTAAAAGTGGAATTCTAACTGGAGTAAAGGAAGGCCTCACCTCACACTACGACCTAATCAAGAATATGGGCTCGACACAAGACAAATGTGAAGTAATCAGATTAAATGTTTGGAAATGTCAAAACCACTTCAAGATATATGCAGTCTATAATCCACCCCAGAATTGTCAAAACTTTGACTTTCTGAACATCGACCTCAAAACCATAGTATTAGGAGACTTCAACGCCCACTCCACCAGATGGGGCTACAAGGATACAAACATAGTTGGAAAGGAAATAGAAGACTTGCTAAACAGCAACACTCTGGAACTTATTTACAGCAATGAGGATCCGGCTACATATTTGCACTACAATGGAACCGGAACAACTTCTGAATTGGTCTTGGCTTCAAGCGCCATCAGTGAGCATACTTGCCGCAAAATAGTTGACGATCCTGATTCTGGTCACAAACCAGTCATTGCTAGTATTACCATCGGCAGCAAAAGCATGTCAAGGAAAGTGCCAACTAAGCTATCATGGAACTTCAAGAAGGCTGACTGGCCTAGATTCACAAATCTTTTAGAGAATGAACTTCACACAAGTCCCCTCAACTTCAACCAACATCCTGACAAACTTTGCACTGATATCACGAATATTATGATCAGATGTGCAATGAAAACTATTCCCCGAGGCAAGGCTAAACACTATCGAGTATTTTGGTCTAAACACCTTGAGGAACTGAAAAGAAAGCGGGACGACCTTCGCAACACTGCTGATCAGACTGGAAGAACGGAAGACGTACAAGCCTGGAGACGACAATCAGCTGTTCTATGNTTGTGCACTTAAACTACTAGCAAACTGGTGCGACAACAATGGAATGGTAATTAACACCGCAAAACCTGCATTCCAAACATTTTCTCTGGCCCATCACAGCATACACCTGCTTTTAAGGTACAAGGATTCTACCATAGAAAAAAACCGATGAGTTCACTTATCTCGGAATGACGTTTGACACAAAGCTAACGTGGAAAAGTCACATTGCTAAAATAGCAGAACGAATCCTCAATAGACTGAATGTATTGAAGCGTCTTGCTGGTAGCGTATGGGGCTGTGCGCGCTCAACTCTAAACACCACTTACAAGATGTTTATTCAGCCAATAATGTTGTACTGCTGTGAGCCACTCATTACAGCCACAGAGGTGACTCTCAAACACCTCGAGAAGGCACACAACCAAGCATTACGACTAATTACTGGAGGGATAAAATCAACACCCATTGATGCAATGCTCCTAGTTACAGGAAGCGCTACAATATGTTCCCTTATCAAAGAAAAGACCTTGATCCTGTACGAGAAGCTACTGCGCATTCCCATGGATATGTTCTTCAGCACCTATGAGAATAGACCAAGACACCTGAAAACGCAATCTGGTCTAATACAGAAAGCCATAGAACTGAAGAAAGAATTACGAATTGATGACAAACCAAAAAGCCTCTCTTCCCCCATGAACCCATTAGCAGACATATATGTAGTTGACACACTTGCTAAGAGGGGGACAACGATTTTGCAATGCATGGACCGACCGATGTCTTTCCACACAATGAAGGCCTTAATCAAGAGAGAATTCCATACCTCAAGGTGCAACGAAATTAAAGCTCGAACAAAGGAGAAACAGTGGACAGTGGCACTCTCCGACATACCCAAATGGCCCAGAATCGAAGCCGTTGTTGAGTTTAGACTACGTACCGGACACGATTGCTTGGCAAAACACCTTCACAGATTGGGAGTATATACTCAACCCACATGCCCTCTATGTAACCTACAGGAGGAAATGGAGAAGACCCACCTGAATCGGTGTCCAGCTCTAAAGACAACGACGGAAAGTCAGAGATACTGGGAAGCAAGAAGACAGCTAATGAACTGCTATTAATGAACTGCTATAAATGTACCCCCCCCCCCTCTCTTGGGGGGAAGCTGAAGTCAAAGTTTAAGGGCTAATGATAAATATCATAAAGCCTGCCATTTGAAATAAATAAATAAATATATCTGGGAGATGTTGGTCTGAGAATTACGGCATAGAGATATTCGAACTCCATTTAGCAAACAATGAATTGAGAATTTGAAGAAGTATTCTGATTACCTGTGAGGAATGATTGAGAATCAACTCTTTCACACTCATTAGATGAGTAAATATTCGAAATTATTATATCTCTATCAAGTCCGCAAATTGGCCTTAGAGTAAAATGTATTGGATTTATCGTTAGAAGTAAAGAGTGGAATGGTATTCGTGTGAAATGATTGAAGACTGTTAGTGTCATTATGTCTGAGATTTTGGGCTATCCACACACAGACAAACTTTCATCAGGTTATTGATGATTGAGTTGCAACTTTTCTCATTCCTAATAAATCTCATTACTCTTGACTAACCACAGACTTAAATTAACACCCCAAAAGGCTGTGGATAGAGGAAGGAAAATCCCTACCCAGAATGAAGATTGAAAGTTAGAAAAGTATCACAAACTGATCTTTTCCACTTAGAATATGTGCTCAACTACAATCTAACGAATTGGAAAAGAACTACCTGTAGTATTTTTCATACATTACCTATTCAAAAATCAAGGCCTCTATCTTATCCCATTGCTTTGCACTCATTCAATATTCCTTGAATACGGACCCTCTCCTCCCACCAACTTGAAAAGCGAAAAGGGACACTTTATCTTCTTCCAAACTGTTTGCAATACGTAAGCAGTTTGATTTCGTCTCGGTGACACGCTAGCGAATTTGTCGAATTATCAATTGGCAATGGTAGATAATGTGATGGGTGACGGTGTTCTAGATGCTAGGTTGGCCTTTATGCTCTCGATGGGCTCTGGAAACTACCCTTTACTGCTTGCACGCCTTGACGAAACCAGAAGTAGTACAGTCTTTGTAAGTGAACATTTAATGAAGCAATTACTCCCACAATTGCTATTGGCTATTGTTTGTCTAAAACACTTTGAAATGTCGTCTTTTGACCTTGTCAAAACAAATTACATTTGATGTCACTATGTGGAAGTAAGTACTTAATTCAATGTTGGATAGTAGAAGTCCACTAATTATTAGAACGAAATGAAAAGAATGATTGGTCAAATCCAATTCGAAATGTAATTGTCAGCTGGTGAATGGAATAAATCATTCTTTAAGTTGGAAAAGCTCACAATCGGCATCTTTAAATTGACTAAATCTGTGTCTGTAAAGGGATGAATAAAACATGTAAGAAAAGATGCGCTGCTAAAATGTGTGAGACTTGAACTGATGTATTACATGTAAGTGTAGAAAAGAGTTCGATAAAGAAGAATCTTGACTGAAAATTCACTTCACCAGTTTCTGAATTTAACCGGTTGGTCAAGATATAATAGAGAGGAATAAAGGTTAATTTTGAATAAGAAAAGATGTTAGGTTCAAAGTGAGATAGAGAGAAGATGAGGTTAGTTGAAGATGGAATGAAGATTGCTGGTGGATCTGGCAGAAGAAGTGAACCGGTTTGGAGTTGTAAACAAATTCTGATGCAGGTGTGATAGAGAAGAAATTGATACCATTCTAAAAGTTCCAATGTGACGAAGTAGCCAGTTGCCACGTGGCCTCCAAATGTTTTTTTCCTTCCTTCCTTCTTACTCCTTCCAACTCTTTGAAATCCCCTCGAATATTCCTCCATCTCTGGGGTGTGCGATAGACTTACCTCCACGTGGTGCACTCTGGGCAACGTATACTCATACAGTAAAATAGTCCATTAACCGGCAGTTGACTTCTGACTTCAAACTACCAAGACCCCACTGCATTTCATATTCGAATAATTTCACAGTACTCACGTCACCTTTTTCTACCTTTGTGTCTGTCTGTCTCTTTTACGTCTGTGAATCAATATTCTGTACCAAAACAGCAGAGATAAAGGAATGTGGAAAACTCTATGAGCTGCTGAGAGAGAAAAACAAAACAGTGGTCCCACAATGGATTCCTACTCACTGTGGCATTAAAGGTAATGAGCTTGCTGACACACTTGCTAAGAAGGGGACAACGATTTTGTAATGCATGGACCGCCCGATGTCTTTCCACACAATGAAGGCCTTAATCAGGAGAGAATTCCAGACCTCAAGGTGCCACGAACTTAAAGATCGAACAAAGGAGAAACAGTGGTGAGTGGCACTCTCCGAAATAGCTGACTGGCCAAGAATTGAAGCCGTTGCTGAGTTTAGACTACGCACCGACACGATTGCTTGGCAAAATATCTTCACAGATTGGGAGTATATACTCAACCCACATGCCCTCTATGTAACCTACAGGAGGAAATGGAGAAGATCCACCTTAACCGGTGACCAGCCCTAAAGACAGCGACGGAAAGCCTTGTGTTTGCTGTTATTCACTGTAAATTATCTATTACAGTAAGAAAAAGTGATGTCTGCATCATCGTCGACCTCAATGAAAGTGTAACCAACTTGGTGTTCACGAAAACAAAGTGTAGTCATGGAAATGATTGAACTCAAGGTTTAATTAGTAGTAGGTTACATTGAAGAAATAAACATGTCGGCAGTATATTGATCAATGAAGTTATACCCTCGACAAACATTACTTATTAGTGAATACATTTAATAACAATTGAGTGAAAATTAATATCTGGTTAACTAAGAAGTCCTCTAGACACACACAACCGCACACTTGCCAGAATGTTCGAGGGAGCAATAGATTGCTTGGTTGGAACGTGCTCGGACTGCCGACTTCACAATGTCAAACAAAATGTGAACGACCCACAAGTAAAGTTTGGCATATGTTGCACTCAATTTAATCAATCTGTATAAGAAACAAGACAATTCGCGCTAATCTAATAAATTAACGTAAAGAGTGTTATCCAAAACAAAGTGAGACCAATTTGAACAAACACAATGGAATCTATTGATTCGAATCATATCCTCTTCCATACAAAACACCTCCTTCATGTTTCCAAAAGTCAATTTCAGTTGTGAAATACAATTCATTGAGCAATCCATTGATCACGACCACCTCTATAAATATGCCAGTGGGTTCAATGTATTGAGACAAGAAATGGCACTAATCGATTTGTCAATAATTGTAAGTGCATATTTTCGTTGAAGGGGCAACTTTTCTCATTTCAGACCAAAGGCGGCACTTCTACCCCTGCCCACAAACTTGTCCTTTGTGCACAATTTCCAGGAATAAAGAAGAGTATCTCAAAGTGCGAACATTCAAACCTCTCAAATTGGAGTCGTTTTCCATATGCGTAGGTCATTTGTCCCGATTACATTATCAACTCCTTAGTATTGTTATGGCAGTCGTCGACTTCGCCTACACTGGTGAAATAATCATAAATGTTGAAAACGTATTGGGGATATATCTGATGGCACACAATCTTGGCTGCAAACAGCTGATTGACTGGACAACGGAGTTCATCAAGACAAGGTTCGTTTATTGCAAGTAAGATAAACATAATGTGTGTGCGTGTGTGCGAGTGTGTTAGTTTTAGTGGAGAGAAGTTCTAAAAGAAAAGAAAAGAAAAAGATGAGTGATAGGACAAGAGTTTGTGGTAAGTGATGTAATAACATACAACCCATCACTCATGCGCAAGAGGCAATTGTCTTGTAGACTTGATCGACTTGGTTTGATGGATGTTTGGTGAGCAGCAAATGTCACTTCAAACACTGATCTCATTGACGTGTGCATATCAGGGTAGTGTGCGATTTTGAGAGATTAGCTTCCAGTCAGCCCTTCCTCCAACACGTAGGTGTCGAACAAATTCAAATCATGCTGCAAAGTCCTTGGATATGTGATGGAAAGGAAAAAGCAAAGTTCATGGCACTCAGCACATGGTTGAATGTCCCATCCTTGAAGGTCGATCGCTCTAAACGGGAGAAAAACTTTAATCGTCTTCTTTATTTGATCAACATGAAGAGATTGCCACGAGAATTTGTAATTGAAGCATCACTAGGTGGAGTAGGTTTAAATTTAACTGAAAATGCAAGGTATAGTCTCATTCCCATTTCTGAGTGTTTAGTCATTTAGAAGAGTATTTTTGGACACAGTTATGAAATTGAAAGAGTCAGCAATGGACACGAACGTTCATTTTTCGCATTCAACGCATAAGGTAATATGCATGTTTATCTCTTTTCCTATTTTAGAACGAAGTCGCAAATCTGTGTTCATGGGAGTGAAGAAGATCCAATAAGCGGTGTTTTGCAGTCAGTTCCTGATCTAAGTGGAGGAAGAATCAATGCACGGAATGGTGACATGAATGTTCTCAACTCAATGCTAGAAGAAAGAGGGGGGGGGGTCATTCTGCATTGTCTCGAGATCATGCAGGATCTCCCTGCTCTCTCCCCTTCCTTCTGCACACGTTGCTTTTCCTCCTCTCAAATCCTAAGTTGCATTATTGAAGCACCTTATTGGTCACAGAAAAATTCACTTCTAATGTACTATAAGCAAGAAAAAGTATTAACCCGGCAGCATATCGATAGGTAGTCGCCAGCACTGGAATCTCTTGGTGGCTACATGGACCAACACAATGGACTACTCAGCTTATCAGATATTAGGTAAGTTGAGTGTTTTCCATAATTAATAATATTCGCTTAGATTTTAACTTCAATAATCCATGTGGTGTCTGCACCCTTACTTCTCCAATGCTACTGCTGTGTCTTACCTCGTATAAACCTCTCTGCATTTGGCCATTTCCATGTCTCCGCTTTGGATTCGTACCCACCATGTTGGCTACTATGAGGAAGTCATCAGCCGCGCCCTGTAGGCCAATGATAAATTCCAATTACATAACTGCAATCATCCACACTTCCTTGCTGTTGACAATGGAAACATTCGTTGTGACAAAATGACAAATACCTTTTAAGCAATGACTTCTAGTGACACCTGTGGCCAGTTAGTGTAGCAATCGGATACAGGATGAATGCAAATCCACACGAATGAATGGGACTATTGAAGAGATGGTGCTTTTAGACACAAAACTCACGCGAAGGAAGTACTCGATGTGGCATATATGCATGAATTTTTTTCCTTTGTCCATTGCATTTTCATACAACCTTGAAGCCATGATTATTTCAACCTTTAAGCATTCTACTTATTTTGAAATACTTTTCTCCTCTTCATGTCTATCTCATATATGCTTTCTTCATGTTTGGAATTGCAAAACAAGGACGATAACACCCTTCAGAATGTTCGAGTACGCGGAAGACTCCTTCCCTGCAAACTCCGAATAAAATTAATCAATTTATGAGATAAAAATGATTGATTTTTCAATTTGCATAATTATTTCTGACATTATAATTATTACTTTTAAAGGAAATTATCCATTTCAGCAAGAGTGGAATGTCAATTTTAATTCCCCATTCATTCTCTTCTGTATTTTACACAGAAATAGATAGATTTAAACTTTTACAAGCATTTTTAGCATTTCTTTGTTTCCAAGTGGTATGAAATAGTAACAATTGTTGATTGTATAGTTTTAAATGAATCATTGGAAATTATTTATTTTCAGCAGTTGCAGGTCATTATTATAGTTCAAAATATGTAAATTACGAAGTTTGCTGCAAAAATAAATTTACGAGTTAAAATTCCAGTTGAAATGTCATAAACTTGATTAGTTCATAAAATTCTTGAAGATGTTGAAATTACTTTCCACTCCAACCTTTAATCACCCTCTCTCATTACTTAAATTGCCTCATTATTTTTGATTGCCAAAAAACTGAGTACACTTTAAGTTTATTCCAATTGAAAAAAATAGGTACAAAGGATGTGCTCAAAACTGTGTCAATAGTAGTTAACAATGAAAGCCGATAATAATGATAAAGACATAAAATTAAGAAAAAAATTGAAATTTGACTCACAAGCAAACAAAAGACTCCCTTTAAAAGAGATCATCGAATTCGAACTAAACGAGGCGTCGATCACTTCGGTCCACTGGGGAGGTCCATCAGAAAATAAGGACAACATCTCCACACAAGAAGTTGATTCCTCATAATCACCAACGACGTACACATTTCCATTGAAAAATTCTGCTTTTGGATATACCCTCGAATGAAGCATGGGAGTGATTTCACACCAACTGCCTGCATGTCCAAGAGGCGATGAAGTTGTCAAAAAGATTTCTGCGTTGTCGACAGGCTGTGTATCATCTCCAATATCTGTCCATCCACCAACGACTATGTCACCAACACCGGGTATATGTGCTGCTCCTGTGCCATATCGAGGTGTTGGCATTGAGGGCAGTTTCCTCCATCTAAATTTTGAAAATATGAAAAATTCGAATGATACTTGTGGTTTAGTTACCTTCGACCTATAAGTTCGAACTTAAAATCAGGCAAGGTCAAATGTCTGTTTATATATATATCAGTTGCAAGAGGAAACTTGAATCAAACGCCACTGTAAAATAAATAGATTAAATGCATTCATTTTAGCTACACCTGAACATCAATCTCTTACAACTAATGACGATGTTCAAATGAGTGAGTACTTTTAGAACTCTCAAAATGTAACAAACGATGATTGGAAAGTCTCATCAGATATTAGTGCATTGCCAAGAGTAATCAAGTGAGTGTAAGTCATTATCCAAACAAAATCGGACAAACTCAGATTAATTCAGATAATGTATTTGCAATCAAGTTTGGTCCGAACATCACACTATGCAAAATGCATTAAAATGCGTATAAACTGCATATTAAATGCTTACGTGTTGGTTGTAGGTAGGAATTCCTCACAAGATTCTAAAATTGCGTCACTTTGCGAATTAAAACCTCCAAAAACTAGAACTGCATGATCTCGAGCCACTGCAGAATGACCCGCTCTCTCTTCAATCATTGGTTGGAGTAAGGTCACTTCACCATTCTGCAGATTCTTTCTTTCCACTCTTGATATACTTTCGCTTAACTCGCTTCTGCCACCAAGAGTATAAACACTACCTACAAGGAGTAAAATAGAGTAATTGAGAGTAAGCAATTGAAGTTAGATCCAACCATCCAAAGCAACTCTGCAGCTGGTGAATCGAAATTCGAATGGGAAAGAAAAATGTCTTCCTCCACTTAGCTTAGGAACCGCCTCCAAAACTTGACTTCCTGAAGTGCATTTACGCCCATGAACACAGATTATCGATTTCGAGCTGCGACGAAAAAACAATGCATTATGCATATCATATTAAATGCTAAAGATATGTTTGAGAGTACCTTTCAATTGTCGTTTCAATCGAATTCATAAATGTGTCCAGAAATGTTATCCTAAAGAACCAAATATTCGATAATATGAATGACATATTTACCTTGCACTTTCAGACAAGTTGAAATCCGATCCACTAACTGATGTTTTTATTATAAATTCTTTTGGCAATTTCTTCATGTTGATCAACTTGAGAAGAGTATGGAAATGCTTTTCGAGTTTAACGTGTTCGTCAGGTAAGGAAGAATCATTCAACCATGTGCTGAGTGCCTTGAATTTCACTGTTAACTTCCATCACATATCTAGGGACTTTGCAGTAGGAGCTGAAGTTGGTCGACACCTACGTGTTGAAGGAAGGGCTGACTGGAGGCTAATCTCTCAAAATCGCACGCTACTCTTGGTATGCACACGTCAGTGAGATCAGTGTTTGAAGTGACATTTCCTGCTCACCAAACATCCATCAAATCAAGTCGATCAAGTCTACAAGACAATTGCCTCAGTGATGGGTTGTATGTTGTTACATCACTTGCCACAAGCTATCATTCCAACCATTCATATTTTTCTTTTCTTTTCTTTTAGAACTTCTCTCTACTAAAACTAACACACTCGCACACACGCACACACATTATGTTTATTTTACTTGCAATAAACGAACCTTGTCTTGATGAACTCCGTTGTCCAGTCAATCAGCTGTTCGCAGCCAAGATTGTGTGCCATCAGATATATCCCCACTACGTTTTCAACATTTATGATTAATTCACCAGTGTAGGCGAAATCGACGACTGCCATAACAATACTAAGGATTTGATAATGTAATCGGGACAAATGACCTACTCATTCGGAAAACGACTCCAATTTGAGAGGTTTGAATGTTCGCACTTTGAGATACTCTTCTTTATTCCTGGAAATTGTGCACAAAGGACAAGTTTGTGGGCAGGGGTAGAAGTGCCGCCTTTGGTCTGAAATGAGAAAAGTTGCCCCTTCAACGAAAATATGCACTTACAAGTATTGACAAATCGATTAGTGCCATTTCTTGTCTCAATACATTGAACCCACTGGCATATTTAGAGAGGTGGTCGTGATCAATTTGTCGTATCTCAGATGAAAATTGCACCGTTGGTAAATCAATTTGAAAGCAGAGTGTACGATTGCGCTTAGTATGAAAAAGTGGCAGACTGTGGTGAGTAACTGCACCGCTGGAATAGCACACACACCCTTTCGCAACCAATTAAATTCTAGCAAATGCACTTCGGTTGGCATGTGTTACCACAAATTTCTTGGCTCTCAATTTGATGTGTGCTAGCTTTTGAAGAGAGCGAAACACAATTTGATTAAGGTCATTGGTAGCTTTTCATAATTGCATTTCATAAAGGAAATCGACATCCCCACACAAGAACTATGTACTTTATACTAAACCTAATATGACTTAGATAAATAGTTCTCACAGTGTTTGATCATATCTATTAAACGTTGCTTTAAAATAAAACTCTTTGAGAAAATAAATTAGATCTTGTTTCTTTTACTGGTTGATGAAATGGAGTGCAATATATACCAAACTTTACTCATGGGGTGTTTATAATTTTCTGACTTTCCAAACACGTTCAATCGAAAATTTTGGTTTGGAGCTGGTTGTGTTATTTCAAGCTTTTCCAAAATAAATAAATTGAATAGACATTTGAGATTTTTCTCTGCTCTCGTCTACAATATACTCCTTTTCCCTCGGCACCTGACTTCAAATTTCTCAAACTACACTCTCGTGCAGAAGAACTCGCTGAAAAGACCATGTAAAACTCCAAAACACAGAAGCCGTAATTATTATCTATAATCACTTCTTCATCATTTGATTTTGCTGCTGATGCACTCGTAAAGCTCGTGTTTTCCTGTTCCGTAAATCTACTGCCGTGAAATAGATAGATAGATAGATATAACGGAACAAAAGGGCTTACTAAGAAATATAGATTCATGTAGTCGGAGAACCCATTATGTCATTTGTTCGATTAGTTGCAGCCCAACCGGTTTGAAGCCTGCTCAGCAAATTACTTATTTCTCCGAAAATAATTTGAATGTTTGAAAATCCTCTCGCAGACATATTCTTAAATAGTTGAACTATGAAAATATGAAAAAAAATCGATTTTTTTATTTCTAGACCGGAATACCCCCTTAAGTGAAGGAATTATTTCAAAAACACTAGAGTTTTCATGCAGCTCAATTACAGACATTGCTAAGACTGACTTAAAATTCCCTGGTGTAATTTCCTTTCCAGGATTCACAGTCAAATAATTGAAGCTCCATTTCATACCACGTGACGCCAAGAGGAGTCATTACCAAGGTCACCCCAACTTGTCTCTTTCATTTTAAAGTACACTCAAACTTCCTTAACTTAGTAGAAGTAAAATAATACCTTAAATTGTAAAGCAAGATTAGAAGCAAGAGAATCCGTTCGATCTAGCCAATATGATATTATTTCCCTAAGTAGATCAATGAAAGGTCAATTGAAGGCGATAAATTGAACCCGCAAATCCAACAGTTATTTATTTATTTCAAATGGCAGGCGTTATGATAGGTATCACTGGCCCTTTAGTTGACTTCGGGCTTCACAGAGAGAGAGGAGGAGGAACATCAAAGTGGCAAAAAGACGAAAGGGGGAGAGAATAATTTCGGCTTTGTTTCAACACCATTCAACTTTGATTTTTCAGTTCAATAACTTTAAAGTGCTAAAACCATTTTATTTTCAATGTTTTGCTCTGTGGGTATTTAGTTAATTTTTTTAATAACATTTCTCGA